TGCTTTTGACTCAAGTCATGATCTCAGGGTCCTGGGATCCCTGCTCAGTGGGGAGTCTGCTTAAGGACTCGCTCTCTCTGCCCCTTACACCCACTTGAGCTCTCTTTCTCTCTCAAATGACTATATCTTTAAAAAAAATAATAATAAAATAAAATAAGTCCAAAATATGGCCATCTTCCACAACCTCCACTACTAGCTTTCACCTCTCACCTGGATTACTACAGGAGTTGTCTGGTCTCCCTGTACCCTTGTACACCCAACAGTCAATGTGCTACACAACAGCCAAATTTTTCCTTTTCATTTTAGTAGGATTATGTCATTCCTTTGCTCAAAATATTCAAAGGTTTTTCATCTCATTCTGAGTAAAAACCAAAACTCTTACAATGGGCTATACAATCCATGACAGATCCTCCAGCCCAAATTACTTCTCAGAGCTATGCCCTTGGCTTCCCCTCATTTGTATTTTTTTTTTTTTTTAAGATTTTATTTATTTATTTGACAGACAGAGAGAGAAAGCACAAGTAGGCAGAGAGGTAGGCAAAGGGAGAGGGAGAAGCAGGCTCTCCACTGAGCAGGGAGCCCGATGTGGGGCTCGATCCCAGAACTCCGGGATCACGACCCGAGCCGAAGGCAGCCGCCCAACCGACTGAGCCACCCAGGCGCCCTGGCTTCCCCTCATTTGTATACCACTCCAGGGACCTGCCACATGTGCTCCAGGTTCACAGCCTTTGCATTTTTTCTTCACCCGCTCTTTCCATACTTCATATGGCTTACTCACTCACCTCTTTCAGATATCTGCTCCAAGGTCACCTTCTCAGTGAAATCTTCCCTGATTGCTCTATCCAATGTTGCAACATCCTCAATCCCCCTTTCTACTTTTTCCACCATCTTCCATACTGTATGTTTTTGCTTACTGTTTATTGTCTCTTTCTACAAGAATGCAAACTCCACCTAAGGAGGTTTTTTATTTGGTCTTCTTCACTATTACTGCCAACACCTAGTACAGGGTCTATTCTATGACACATACTAGATAAATACTTACAGAATGAATGCATCCACATCTGCCTATCCAAATACTAAACCAATTATTAAAGGCAGGCCCAACACCTTTTAATTTCTGTACTCTTTCGTTTCTAAAGTACAGAGCACAATATTTGGCACATAATTCAGGTCTACTACACATTAAATCAGCCAATCATTTACCTGTATCCTTTCACAGGAAAACAGAATATAATACAGAAAGATATTTTATTTTCTGTATGGCTGATGGTAAGTGCACATTAGTAGAAAACAGTGATGGAAAAGTGCCTCATCTCTGCTCCCAATATTAAAAAGGTTTTGCTGTCATTATTGTCCTTTCTTTTAAAGCAAATGACTGGGCCAAACACCTTCTTTTAGATAGGCAGCTTTTTCACTGTAAAGTGAGATACATGAGAAATTAATTATAATTAGTAGGGAAAAGAAAACCCAGCAAACTATAAAGTTTATTATGGTCTTACAGATCTAACTTACTGATACAGAAGTAGTAAGTTCACAATGAGACTAGTTTATTTTAGGGTTATTTCCCCAAATTCTACTCTTGTAAGTAGTGATAAACTTAATACTGCTTATTGCATAGGGAAATCAAAGACTAATTTTCTAATAAGTGTAAATGCTGTTGGGTCTCATCAAATAAAATCTTTGGTGAATGAGGAATTTTACTGCCCTTTAGTGGTTCTAATCACTTCCCCAGAGCAATGGACCTCTGGAAAGTTCCAGTTATTGGAAAAATCCAAAATCTGTATGCACATCAAGCAACTGATTGCTAGACCATTATCATTATTTTATAATCAAATAGATGCTGTGATTAATAAAAATTTAAAAATAATTATAAAGTATTAGTAGACTTAGAGCACCTCTGTTATTTTCTCAATCATGGATACTAGAATATACAACTGTGACATGAGAATGATGTTAAAAAGTGATACAAAATCTCTTCCAAAAGACTGCCCCAGAGCTTTCAAAGTTATCATTCTACGTATTATCTTTCACTTTTATTTATTTATTTATTTTTTAAAGATTTTATTTATTTATTCATGAGAGACAGAGAGAGAGACCGAGGCAGAGGGAGAAGCAGGCTCCCCGTGGAGCAGGGAGCCCGATGCGGGACTCGATCCCAGGACTCTGGGATCATGACCTGAGCCGAAGGCAGATGCTTAACGGCTGAGCCACCCAGGCGCCCCAGACCTTTCTCCATTTCTTATTCAAAAGCACGTAATGAGATATTCTGGGAATATTCTTAGATAAAGGACTTCTCATAAATCCTTCCAACTATATAAGGCAGCATTAGAGGGCCTGAAAGATTGTAATCTTTCTGAAATTTCCTTACCAGGGAGGTAGGAAGGGGAAAAAAACAGGAATATACTGTCTAACATTGGGGCAGGATAGAATGGTAAAGAAGGTCATACTTTCAAAATATATGTATTTTTAAAATTCATTACTCTAAGACAATTTCTTTTGGTTTTATTAGAAAACTCAAGTGGTTTAAAAACACTATGGAAAAGACAATGGAGGATTTTTCTATTATTAGTGAAGTTGGGTCTGAAATAGAATGACTATACTGTCTTTAGAACTTTGTAGCAGGAGGGGAAGAATGAAGGGGGGAAATCGGGGGAGAGACAAACCATGAGAGATGATGGGACTCTGAAAAACAAACTGAGGGTTCTAGAGGGGAGGGGGTGGGAGGATGGGTTAGCCTGGTGATGGGTATTAAAGAGGGCACGTTCTGCATGGAGTACTGGGTGTTATGCACAAACAATGAATCATGGAACACTACATCAAAAACTAATGATGCAATGTATGGTGATTAACATAACAATAAAAATTTAAAAAATACAAAAAAAACCCTTTGACACTTTAAAAAAATGTTTGATTTAGTTGTGTTTGTCAATATTCTTGATTGACTAATCTTAACTTTTTATGAATCTGGCAACTTTCTATGCTAAGACCAAAGGGTCTGTGACACTCAAGATTTTTTTTTCCCCCAGAAGGGTTCCTTGTAAAGGCAGAGAGAGAAGAGGCAGTTTGGTTTTTGGTCCCAAAAGGCAAGAAGATGAAAAAGAATGAGAAGCCAGCAATGTAAATTGAAGTAAAGGGCCGTTTTCTTAGAGTCTTGTTAAGTGTTTTAGTAGACCTTCAGTGCTCAGAAAGAATGCCTTTAAGTCTGATTATTAATTCATTTTATATGGAAACTTGTCCTTTTATATCTCAGAATCCCTGAAACAGCAGTTCTCAAGTGACAAGCTCCATCAGAATTACCTGGGGATCTCTTAAAAACTAAACAAAACCAGCGCTCTAGGCACAGTAATCAAGTTTATTAGATTCCTTAAAAGAGAAAGTAATCAGCAAGACTTTGGTGAAAGATATCCCAAGACGGTGTGTGTAGGGGAAGGATTCTTTGAGGCAGGGTGCTTTTGTGTGTGCCCGTGCAGGATTCATTCCAGGAAAATAGCACACGGAGGGATAAGAAACAGAGTATATTATAATGCTCCACTGAACATTCCATGTATAAAACAGGTCTTGTTATAAAGATGATTTTCTTAGGATGGATTCTCAGAAGTTTGGTAACTGAGACAAAAGGCTTGATCTTAAATTTTGAGCTTGTTAAATATTGCTGCACTTGCTATACCATCAGCAAATATGAAAGTACTATTTTATTTTATCCTTTACTCTTTTCTGGCACTGCACTCATTTTACTCAACTCTGCCAATTCAGTAATAGTTTCAAAATACTAAATCTGTAATTACTGCAAACTTTTTGGCCTACACTTTTAATTAATTGTATTTATTATGTTAAGCAATTTTCATAAATGGTCTTCATTTTTAATAAGCCATAATTGTTTTTCACATTTTTAAACCTTATGTTGACCGTGCTTTGAGGTATTTCTAAAAGGTTTTCTAAAAGGTTTAAATTTTCATATAACTATTTAATTTCTTGTGATTCCTTTTTTTTTTATTCTTATGTTAATCCCCATACATCATTAGTTTTATCTTGTGATTCCTTTTAACTTCAGAAATTCTTCCTTCCTCTGAGTTGATACTCAGCTTAAAAAAAAAACAAAAAACATTTTTCTCTTGTTGTCTTAAAAAAAACACTTAACTCAACCCACAGGAAATATTTTACATATGAAGTAAAAATGTAAATTTTTCTTTCCCAAAATGATTACCAACTTCCTAGCAGGATTACTTACTAAATAAATAATTTTTCTCCTCATTGGTTTTGTGACATCCAATTTACTATATATTCAGATCTTATATATAAATTTATTTTTTCATAGCTCTTACAAGTTTTGTCATTTTTTCTTCCAGGTCATCTATAGTTGTCATTAATATTAGCTGGAATATTCATCTTTTCGTTGGCATTCTTTCACTGTGTTTTCTAACCTGTAACTGCTAGCATAGTGCTATTGTATTGATTCTAATCATCACTTACCAACACCCGACAGAACTCTTATAATTTAAAAAGTTTTTAAATGACTCAAATTAACTCAGTTAACAAGTTTCACAATAGATAGAAAGGTAAGGGGGAAAGGCCATATTCCTATTAATTAGCTCTGTCATTTCTAATTTATTAGGCTAACATTTTTAAAAGAAAAATAAAGGAAATGCTCCTATGGATACAAAAAATCACAGGGAGTGGTTTTGTTCACGTACTTCAAAAAGTACATTGAGGAATATAAAATTTTGTTTTGCATTTCAAATACACCTCTTTAGGGAAGCAGTGAGGTCAGTTTAGAAAAGATGCTTGCAGTTTTCAGTTATAAAGCTATTAGCACTCTCCCAACAAAACCAGTAAAACAAAATCAGTGAGAGTACTTGTATTCATATAGCTACAATCAGGAGAACCACAAATTCTTGAGGACTAACTATTAGAACAGGAAGAGCTTTCTTTAATTAAATGGGTCATCTCTCACAATGTGAACCCTCTCCCGCCACTAAGCACAGTACCAGAACTAAGTAATTTCAAAAGACATCAAAACTTCTATTCAAGTAATAGGTTTCCCAATAACGAATTCCAATTTCATCTGAAGATTATTAAGGACCCTGTTTTAGTAATAAAAGGGTAGCGTTTCAAAATGTTAAAGCAATTTTAGATTTTACTTGTATGGTAGCTATGATTTTATGTGCCCCATTAAAAATCTAGTCCAATGTCTCCATTTAACGGCTTAATATTTTAAAGACTCTTCTCCGTATTACAAAAATACATCAGTTATATATTCCCTTATTTTCCCCAAGCAAACAGATATATAGTCCTTCAAACCAAAATGCTAAAAAGTTATCATTCTAAAATAAAATTGCTTACCATGATACCACCATTTTGTTTTCTTTGGATTCTTGTTACATGTTCGAACATAAAAAGAATTATCTGGTGGTCGTCTCTGAAACCAAAAAGAGAGGTTGTAAAATGGAAGATTTAAGAAGATAGTTTTAATAAAAGCTTTAGAAGAATTATTACAAAGAGTCTAAAAACAATATAAATGCCCATGTGGCACAACTGAAATAATATATTGCAGGAAAAGTAGACCCTTGACACGGGAATTAAAAATACATACATACATACATACATACATACATAAAACTAGGGGTTTGCATGTGTGATTTGGATTAGGTTCCAGTGGGATTACTAGAGAATGACTATTAACCCAAAGTGGCAGCATTAGGTTTTAAGGAATTTTGGTTTCATTTATTTTATCTCCCTAGAAATAATTTGTAATTACTTTTGTGAACTAACTAAAAAAACAGAAAAGTCTATCTAACTAGGTTTGTCTGAGAAACTAACAGCAACTTATAAACCTCCACAATTACTGTTTTCCTGTAAGGTAAGTATCACCAAAGACAGACCGAAGGATTCAGTTTCCAAACAATATATAAGAGGAAAAAGGGAGAAAAGCTATATTGGCATTTCTACCATATATATGCCCAGACTAGCACAATATTAGAAACATATGGCAGCTCTGCAAGGGAGCTTCAGCGGAAATAGTGATGCCAACAAAACTGAAGACAGATTTTGGAAGGCAACTTCCCTGAAAACTGTTGGATATTGACCAGACACAAGAAGTAAGTGACTCTCTACAAAAATCTGGAAACATGTCAAATTTGTATTAAAGCTACTGAGTGCAGGTTAGTAGATAAGTTAGTAGACAGGTCCAACCAAAAAGCAATGATGAGTAGGACTGCCTAGACAGCAGGTAGGGAAACAGGCAGTCCACTTGGCACTTCTACAACTCATGTACATAACTCTGATCTTAGTTGAGCCTAATAATGCCCTTACAAGTTAATATTAATAGTAACTTAACAAAAGGGAAGAGTATAGTGTAAGATGTTAAACCACTACCCCAAGATTACCCTGCTGATAAAGTTTGAGAAAATATCTGAAAAATTAGCATCATGAAATTAGATGCCTGACAACTTCAAAGAATAATCTGTTGCTGTTTGTCCTGCAAAGTCATAATCTGTGTTCATGTGGAATAAATTGCTACCACTACAACAAATAATTTCATAAATTCATTTTCTCTGTATATTGATTAGAACCCAATCTTAAAAAAAAAAAAAACAAAACCCAACCAATCTTCAAAAAAGAAGAAAAACACACTCATTCTATTTGCTGAAGAATATAACCAAACTGACTAAGTGATCATGGAGATTTGGTTCTTAGAAAATAAAGTAACTATACAAAAAGATGGATTACCAAAATTGTTTTAGGAATTGAATACTAGCTAGAAAGTTTGGACTATCTATATTATAAGGGCACTAAGAATAAATGGTAGATTACTGAAAGACCTCTCAATATCAGAAATTATCTTTAATCTACTGAAATCTACTGACATGATAGATTTAAAGGCCTTCAATTTAGGGAACCATCCTTGACCATGAAAAAGAAAATTGGAATGAAAGAATTATGACTAAATCAAAGTTCCCAAATGTATAGTAAAAATTAAAATTTGTATTCAAGTCAAATATTAAAGTGAAACTCATAGAACCACATTGACCAGAGAATAAAATTCACCTGTTTTAAAAGAAGAGTTTTTGGTCAGTAGTTAGAAGACTTTTAAAAGTTTATTTGGAGCTAGATCCCCTAAGTGCCAAAGCAAGTTTCCTCTTCATCTCTGTAACCTAGTACTTAGCACAGTAAAAACAGTATCTACTAGGTTCCTAATAAACTTTTACTGAATTTTTATCACATTTCACAGAACTAATGCTGCCAGAATTACTTCCAAATTATTATCTTGGTTAAATATAATTTAGTTCATATTATGTAATATAGCTTACCAATAATTTAAATGGAATAATTAGGCATATACTAACTATGAAGGAAAAACTAGCAGTAGACAACAGAAATGTGAGGGGGATAGAGAGGATTAGAAAAGGATAAAGGAGATGGAGAATATAATCATTTTCTAGTTTTTAACATTAAATCATTACATTTATTTATTTATTGTAAATCATTACATTAAATGTAAACAAAGTGCTAATCATTACAAGGCACATGCAAGAGCTATGTGCACACATCACTGGTGTTTATCTCAACTTTTCTTATTAAAATCCTATACTTACTACTTCACCTTTCTAAAGACATTAAACATTAATGAGGGCACAGAAGTCCTTGTAACCGCAAACTACTCTACTCTAGACCTAAAAATTTAAAATTTATGTGTGTGCTGAGGGTGGAAGTGTGGGGGTAGAGAAAATATGGAAGCAATAAATGAGTAAGACTTGTTTCCAAAGCCCTTGGGGTTAACAAAAGCTCAAGTGTAGCCTTAAAATGCAACAAGAAAAGCCCACAGGCAAAGAGGAAACTTAAAAAGTCATACTACAATTAGATTATGTGTACCCTATTTCATCTATTCGAAGATGTACGTTTTTCTGCACATTTTAATATTCCTGAATGGGGATACATGCCTTTTAAATAATGGTGTCATCGTTTAACTGACACAAGTTTTTTCTTTCTTATATGGTATATAAAATTGCATATTAATGCTCTTAATGCCATAATTAAAAAAATACAATTTAAACCATTACTTCCCATGCTTTTTGTAACAAAAAAACCTGTTTTTTTAAACCTAACACCAAGAAACCTCTTATGAAACTAACATTTCAAGAAACTCACTTTGCAAACAGTGGCTTAGAGTGTTTCAGAGTCTAGATAACCTATCATTTAAATATGAACTACTTAAAGTTCCTAAATACTAATTTAAAGTTCTCTAAATACTAATATAGTAAAAATGATAGTTCAATTTTGAGAAAACAGGGGGGTAAAACTGCTATAATAGCCCCACAGATCCCTAATCTGTAAGGTAAGGTTGTTTCTCCTTTAGACCCAATACAAAAGGAAACCCTCATGAAGAAAAGAGGCTTTAAAATATAGAAATACATGAACACTGTGCTACACACTGCCCCTCAGGCAGAAATGACAAGAGGGCCAGAAATGCACACAGGATTTAGATACTTTAAGAGGGTATCCTAAATTTAACTCATGTGACTTTTCTTTCTGGTATTTTCACCTTTCCATCAGACATAGAATCTGTGGATTAAAAAGGAGAATTAGAGTAAAAGTCCTGAAAATTCTACTGGTAATCTAACCTTCCTCTTTCAACCTAATCATGATGATCAGTATGATAGGAAAGCTCTGGTTCCTGGGAAACTCCCTAAAAGAGGCTGATAGGGTGGGAGCCAGCAGAGGGGAGAAGGGAACTATGAAACTTTCTCTTGGGACTTTCCACTGTGAAATCTAGAAATGAGAATTTCTTATACACTTTTGCCTTGTGCATGGTTACAGAAATAAAATTCAGATTATTTAAGAACATCTGCAGAAATTTTCTGTTTAAGAAATATAAAACAATGTCTGACTTCTATGTTCAATGAAAGATTATCAAAATAATTTTCTAATCTATTACTAAACATGCTATCTATAACTTCTTAATAAAAGGCATTAAATCCTTCCTTCACATAAATTATGTATTATAATAGTTTTTCTACCTAAACTAAAAAAAGAGATATTACCTGGAATAATTCTGAGAAGTCCTACCTTTTCTTTGCAGCTGGAAAGCATGCTAATAATGCTAAGACAAACTGACTGGACTGAGAGCGCTGGGGACCAGTCTTCTGTTAGAATGGATAAACAGATATGACCATTGCTATAAACATGAGGATGAACGGGAATATTTTCACCAGTAAACATGACCTAAGAAAGAATAAAATTCCATTAACACTCAAATATTCTGTATTACCAAGAAATAAAATACTCTCCACAGAACTTATTATTTTAAAAATGAATTAAAAACAAAATAAGTGCCAGAAACAAGATAAACAACTGCTTGTTGTTTATTCTTATCGATCCACAAAGTACTGGTTTCACTGTGTGAATGAGCATGTAGGAAACGGTACATACAGGGAAAAAATCCAGGTCATCTGTTTTTTATTTCAGCTATTTTTCACAAATTCCCTTTAAAAATTTATAAATTACCATGCATTTTTGGCCCAGTAAAGAAAACTGTATCAAGAATGCTTTTTCAAATTCTACTCATTGCTCTCTGCATATACAAATACAAAAGTATTCAATTTTGAGACAACATGAATTACAGGCGACAGGAACACCCCCTTCCACCTGTAACAATGCTACCACCTAAGGTACTACGTGCAAAAGGAAGTAACTGTTATATATACCATCTCCTCTAAACTGGCTCGTCCATTATCATGGGTACAAATAACTACTTACTGATCAGCAAGTAACTATGTGCTTATACACACAAAAAAAATGAGTTGAATGAGTCAAGTTTTTCTCTGCCTTTTCTTCTACTCAATTCTTCTAACAGTTTTTCCTTTCTCCACCTTGCCTCAGCACTGTTTTGAAAGATAATAAAACTATTATTCCTTCCTTTGCCCTAATAATTCATTAAGTATCCCAACAGTAGTGTTTCTTAAACATATCTACGCTAAGCATCTGAACAGGCAGAAGAGTGAATTCACACATCCCAAACCATCTGTAAGCACAGCCCAAAGTAGGGCAAAGGACAAAGACATAGAAGTCTAATATTTAAGGATGTTTATATTTTACTTCATAAAAAATTACTTATTTTGATATAAAAATTAATCCACCAATCTTTATGTGAATTTTATACTGCAGTAAGATCTAACATTTTTACTCTGTTGTTTAGTAGTAATTACTAATTCCTAACCTTAAAAAACATCACCTGAAGATCTGGCTAAAATATAAATGCAAGGGGCGCCTGGGTGGCTCAGCTGTTAAGCGTCTGCTTATTAGTCCTCTAATATTTCAAATATACTACTAACATATGGAACTTGTTTCCTTGGCTGAAGCTAATACAAGAGGACAAAAGGAACTTTTTTCCTCAAAGGAATGACTTTACACACTTGCATATTTTTTGTTTCTTTAAATTTTGGTCATGCACCCTCCAGTCCCACTAGAAAGAGCTAAAATAAAGCTTAAAACTAAAATAAGTCTCAAAATAAGGGATATCACGTTATTTGCCCTTCCTGATTGCAGAACCCAATCCCCTACTTTAGCACAGCTGTGTTTGAAGCCTATTATTTATCTCAATTTTATCTATCAGTGCTAGTATCCTTTTCATCACTTTTTGCTAAAAAAGGGCTGCTCTGCAAAAGGAACTGACTGCTTAAATGGTCTCGCAGCTCTGTACTTTTGAGTCTATCCACAATTATTGTAAATTTTATTTTTTATAAACATGTAGTTTATTCTATACATTTGATATTCCCACAATGTGTTATAGATGTCTAGAGTGGGAGTTTACAAATCTCGCAGAACATGCATCTGCTTTGGGGTATTCACTCTGCCACAAAATCCCATTTGACCAGTAGGATATTTTCCTTAAGAATACAAACAATGCCCAAGACCTTATCCCCTGGCCACAAATATTTTTTAAAGGATATTTCTTTTCCAGTAAGGTCTCCTTTTTAAAAAGTCACACAGAATAGTGCTCTGAAAGTGCCAAAAAAGGAAGAACTGCCAAGTTACCTTCTTTGGCAAAAATTAATCAATGCATCAGCAACCATCAAGGAAAATACACAGACAGCAAAATACAAAGGTTATCACAACATGCTCTGACTAGCCAATTCACAAAGCAGAAGGAAAGCAATAGTGCTCTTGGAGAGAACGGATTATGAACTAAATCACTTGGCCTGAGAGCCAAGAAGTCACCACGAAGCAAAAGGAAACCAGGCGAGAGGAAAAGGGATGGAAAGCAGAAGAGGCCACCTCCAGCAGGAGCAGCAGACACTGATAAGCACCGAAGAGAGCCAGAAATCGAGACAGAAACAGCTTTGAAGGCTGAGGGCACTGAAATAAAAAGAAATCAGATCTCTGTAAATCTTAAAAAAAGCAAAGCAAAGCAAAAAAAAAAAAAAAAAAGCTGGGGCTTTTTAACATGCTGCATGCAGGGCAAATACAGCCAGCCTGAAACTTTCAGCAACCAAACAGAGGGCTCAATTAGCTGCACATATTATAGGTAACCCCTAGGGCCTAACCTGCCAGATACAGAATTTTAGAAGTTTGTCTAAACATGGAAAGGCTGAGTTTACATGCCAGAGATGAATTCCTGAAATAAAAGAAAAAACTTTTTTCAACAATTTATTCATGTAAAAAGGCTGGTAAGCAGTTTCCACAGTTTTGATGTAAACTCTGCAATTCTGGTTCTTTGCATGTGATGGGGAAAGTAACCAAGGCTGAACTTCTTCAAGATCATGCTCTTAACCATCCTCATTTATTTAACACATGGTACAATCCAAAGGAGGAAATGGACATTTCAGTTATTTTAATGCAGCCAAGCAGGGTCTGAAAGCTTAAGAGATGATTACCTGTTTTCAGAATTAAAAAACTTTTTTGGGGGAATCCCAAGTAGCCGATAAAACTCAGATTTAACAAGACAACTGAATATGATGAATTTGAAACCAAAGGGAATAAATAAGAACTTTGCTAATTTCTTTATTTTAAAATATTTATTTTTAAAGTAATTTATTCAAATTCAAACTTAGTCATATAAACAGTTAACAACCAGAGAACTGCACATATTCATAAACCAAACAATAAAATGGAACTACAGATTTTAAAGAATAAGCTGTTTTACGAAAAAAAGCCACAATTTTAGAAAAGGATCTTAGATCTAATGCATGTGAATCACACGTGAAGTTCAGAGTCTGCATTAGAAGCAGTACTCAGATGGATCTAAATTTCCAAACATCTCCCTATCAGTATGGCATATTTTATTTTATTTTATTTTTTAAGATTTTATTTATTTATTTGAGAGAGAGAGAATGAGAGAGAGCATGAGAAGGGGTAGGGTCAGAGGGAGAAGCAGGCTCCCTGCTGAGCAGGGAGCCCGATGTGGGACTCGATCCCGGGACTCCAGGATCATGACCCGAGCCGAAGGCAGTCGCTTAACCAACTGAGCCACCCAGGCGCCCCCCAACCTGAAGTTTTAAGCAAGTCAACCTCTGGGTAACTTTTGGTACCAAATGTAGTGTCTCTCATAAAACTACTAATTTGAGAATGAAAGCCACCAATAATGACAAAATAGAGGATGGAGCTTAGGTAACTGTTTCTAATATGAAATTTATATTTATGAGTACATAAGGATTTCCAATCAAGCTCAATACTGAATGATCCCACAATACTGAGATCTGACCACAAGGAAGGCATGCTACTATGTTCAGACTAATGTTCTGCAACTAATTAGAAAGTGAGACACCTAATATAGCATCAAACTAGGTCAAAACACATATTACAAGAATAAGCAGTATGAAAGAAGCTATAAAATATAAAAGCCAATATATAACATGGATACCAAGATTTCTTCAGGGACAATATAAGGGAATGCTTTCTCTTATTAAAATTATAAGTAGATGACAATGCTTAATGGGCAACTACAGAAACTGAACATACAAGCAGAATTTGTTGTAATCAGGTATCTAATTATTAATAGTATATGACGTAGACAATCTAGCATAAATGGTAAATATTTGACAAAAGTAACTGGGGGCTGGAGTTTTAGTGTAGTTTTTAATTCAATTCTCCCCTTTTACTCACTTAATATGTATTAGTAGCATCAATATTAATAGTTTTTCTGGTCTTCCATAATTACCCTTACCGTGCAATTGTACAAGTATTACAAAGTCAAAATTCCTGGATACAATGAAACTAAATTTGGGTTCCCCTGGATGGTAAACCATTCTCTCTCCTTTGTAAGCTGTGTTCTTCTAGCCTATCAGTCTTCTTTATCTTCCCTCTGCTTTACCCCCAGGGCTTCAACGAACAGGGTTCACTGTTCCCTTTCTCCTCGTCAGGTGTCCTAGATGCTAGACAATTTCAGGCAATAAAAATGGTTATTTAAGACTTTGGAAAGCTTAACCACCATCACATGAAAGATCAAGGAAAATGACACAACAAATAAAAGGATGAGAACACTATGAAAATAGGTTCTGGATCTCTGCAATGAAGGAGTGCTGAGCAACAGAACCAAAGGGTCTGGGTTAAGGTGCCATGAATAGGTAGGGGAATAAGAATGAGGAGAAAGCGACTACTCTTTTGCCCCAGTGCTTCTAAAGCTTTATAATCAAGGTAAGTATATTTTCATCACCACTTTTAGCACGGGTATGGTTTCACAACTAAGTACAGTATCCTCTTTCCCCTAAAAAAATACTTCCCCACCTATTTCTAAAATGCCTAAAATTTCTTCAACAAAAATTAGAGTTGAAAAGCTTAAAAACAAAGTATAACCAGGATACTTACAAGATAATGTGTTTTAATTTTACTGCATTCAAATGGGATGTTTTGACAGAGGAAGGGGTTAAGTTTAAGGTCAAAGATATCTGGAAGGGAAGAGCTGCTAATGTGAGGGAGGAAGGAGAAAGGAAAAGAAGCAAAAACGGTAGACACTAAACTTGAAGACTTCACAGTTTGAAAGGAGAGGTGACTATTACCTCCCAATTCCTTTGAGATAAATCTCCAAATCCTTTATATTGCAAGACTCTTCTTGGATAAGCCCCAAAACATCCTTCCTTTTTCATCTCCTGCTGTAGCCCTCCATTTATTGATACATAAAACTACATTTGCTCGTAAATCTCAGAAGAAACCATGTCTTTTCATGATTTGCTCCACTTGTGACATAAACTCTTCTTCTGCTCTAAGTCCCAGTACAAACAGGTTTCTCTTTGCCCCCTCATTCTATTCTAAACCAGTCATTGCTTTTTCTTTTGCTCCCAAAGCATACAATTCATACTTCAACTTATGGTGCATCCAGTTGCACAGGCCAAAAGTTGTGGAGTCTTCCCTGACTCCTTTCTCTCGTTCATATTTATCAATTCATTAGCAAATCCTGTTGGCTCAACCTTTAAAATAGGTCCAGAGGCACCTGGATGGCTCAGCTGGTTAAGCGACCAACTCTTGCTTTTGACTCAAGTCATGATCTCAGGGTCCTGGGATCCCTGCTCAGTGGGGAGTCTGCTTAAGGACTCGCTCTCTCTGCCCCTTACACCCACTTGAGCTCTCTTTCTCTCTCAAATGACTATATCTTTAAAAAAAATAATAATAAAATAAAATAAGTCCAAAATATGGCCATCTTCCACAACCTCCACTACTAGCTTTCACCTCTCACCTGGATTACTACAGGAGTTGTCTGGTCTCCCTGTACCCTTGTACACCCAACAGTCAATGTGCTACACAACAGCCAAATTTTTCCTTTTCATTTTAGTAGGATTATGTCATTCCTTTGCTCAAAATATTCAAAGGTTTTTCATCTCATTCTGAGTAAAAACCAAAACTCTTACAATGGGCTATACAATCCATGACAGATCCTCCAGCCCAAATTACTTCTCAGAGCTATGCCCTTGGCTTCCCCTCATTTGTATTTTTTTTTTTTTTTAAGATTTTATTTATTTATTTGACAGACAGAGAGAGAAAGCACAAGTAGGCAGAGAGGTAGGCAAAGGGAGAGGGAGAAGCAGGCTCTCCACTGAGCAGGGAGCCCGATGTGGGGCTCGATCCCAGAACTCCGGGATCACGACCCGAGCCGAAGGCAGCCGCCCAACCGACTGAGCCACCCAGGCGCCCTGGCTTCCCCTCATTTGTATACCACTCCAGGGACCTGCCACATGTGCTCCAGGTTCACAGCCTTTGCATTTTTTCTTCACCCGCTCTTTCCATACTTCATATGGCTTACTCACTCACCTCTTTCAGATATCTGCTCCAAGGTCACCTTCTCAGTGAAATCTTCCCTGATTGCTCTATCCAATGTTGCAACATCCTCAATCCCCCTTTCTACTTTTTCCACCATCTTCCATACTGTATGTTTTTGCTTACTGTTTATTGTCTCTTTCTACAAGAATGCAAACTCCACCTAAGGAGGTTTTTTATTTGGTCTTCTTCACTATTACTGCCAACACCTAGTACAGGGTCTATTCTATGACACATACTAGATAAATACTTACAGAATGAATGCATCCACATCTGCCTATCCAAATACTAAACCAATTATTAAAGGCAGGCCCAACACCTTTTAATTTCTGTACTCTTTCGTTTCTAAAGTACAGAGCACAATATTTGGCACATAATTCAGGTCTACTACACATTAAATCAGCCAATCATTTACCTGTATCCTTTCACAGGAAAACAGAATATAATACAGAAAGATATTTTATTTTCTGTATGGCTGATGGTAAGTGCACATTAGTAGAAAACAGTGATGGAAAAGTGCCTCATCTCTGCTCCCAATATTAAAAAGGTTTTGCTGTCATTATTGTCCTTTCTTTTAAAGCAAATGACTGGGCCAAACACCTTCTTTTAGATAGGCAGCTTTTTCACTGTAAAGTGAGATACATGAGAAATTAATTATAATTAGTAGGGAAAAGAAAACCCAGCAAACTATAAAGTTTATTATGGTCTTACAGATCTAACTTACTGATACAGAAGTAGTAAGTTCACAATGAGACTAGTTTATTTTAGGGTTATTTCCCCAAATTCTACTCTTGTAAGTAGTGATAAACTTAATACTGCTTATTGCATAGGGAAATCAAAGACTAATTTTCTAATAAGTGTAAATGCTGTTGGGTCTCATCAAATAAAATCTTTGGTGAATGAGGAATTTTACTGCCATATAGTGGTTCTAATCACTTCCCCAGAGCAATGGACCTCTGGAAAGTTCCAGTTATTGGAAAAATCCAAAATCTGTATGCACATCAAGCAACTGATTGCTAGACCATTATCATTATTTTATAATCAAATAGATGCTGTGATTAATAAAAATTTAAAAATAATTATAAAGTATTAGTAGACTTAGAGCACCTCTGTTATTTTCTCAATCATGGATACTAGAATATACAACTGTGACATGAGAATGATGTTAAAAAGTGATACAAAATCTCTTCCAAAAGACTGCCCCAGAGCTTTCAAAGTTATCATTCTACGTATTATCTTTCACTTTTATTTATTTATTTATTTTTTAAAGATTTTATTTATTTATTCATGAGAGACAGAGAGAGAGACCGAGGCAGAGGGAGAAGCAGGCTCCCCGTGGAGCAGGGAGCCCGATGCGGGACTCGATCCCAGGACTCTGGGATCATGACCTGAGCCGAAGGCAGACGCTCAACCGACTGAGCCACCCAGGCGTCCCTATCTTTCACTTTTAGAGAGAACAATACTGGCTGGATAAATAAGCATCTTCCCCATTCTGGTACTCACACCTAATTGACAGTATGGAAAGGTATAACTTGGGTTTGAGTCTGTGGACTATCCTATTAGCTAACTTTTAAACCATGAACGAGACACTTTACTTCTAAAGCTTCAATTTCTTCACTTATGAGGATGAATCCATCTTCCCTAACCACTTCATCAGAGCTGTTACAAGATAAAATCAGAATGGAAGTTACATCAGAAAGTATGCTACAAATATTACTACAAAGCAGAAGGCACGGAGGTAATGTGTGGCTGAAATGGTTAAGTTTGGACTTACATGAGAAGCTAGAGAGTTTTTAGACGTGACTCTGCAGAAAATAAGGAAGCATTAGAGGTTTTAGGGAGGTAGTGATAGTTGTGGTGGTGGTGGTGGCACTGTGTATCTGTGCAAATCAATGAGGTAACTGCACCTTCAAAGAAATCTAACAGCACTGTGAATGGATGGCTAGGAGTGCAAAGAACTAGAGGCTACTATGTATTAGTCCACATGAAAGACAGAAACTTGGACTACAGCACTGACAGTAGGATAAGAGTGGACTGACTTAAGCACCGCAAAGGACGTGAAAAACTGCATTTAACAGTGAGGGAAAGGGAAGAATTTCAATGCAAGCAGATAGGTGGACAATAACCCGAGAAAAAAATTTTCTTTTCCTTATTTTGTTGCTGGAAAAGATGGGAGTTCATTTGAGACATCTGGAGGTATTCAAGTAGTGATATCCAACAAGGGTGTGAAATTAAACCTCAGAAAGAAGAGGTTGTATACAGAACTGTAGGTCTGGGAGTTAGCTGCTTAAGATGACTGAAGATGTTAGAGAAAAGAGTGAGAATGAGGGGGTGCTGAAAAAAGAACCCTGAGAACACCAAAATCAGAAGAATCAGAAGAGCGGGAAGAAGTCAAAACAGGGAAGGAGAAAAAAAGAATTTGAGATATGACAGAATCCATTACAAATGCTCTTACAGAAATATTCAAGATAAAATTCAAATGATGCTTCAGAGTTTGATATTTGATTTAGATTTAAATACTAAGGAGAGAATTTAGAGGACACTTTGACTTGGTTCATATTTATAGAGATACTATTTTCCTCTGATGAAAAATCTGTGGGCTCCTGGAGTAAGCCTTCTCCAATATCCTCCTAGTCAACAGTTTAGAGTTGGTGAGTCACATTCTTTCTTCATATACCTTCAACAAACTTATTTAAAGTGAAGAACAGGTTGAAGGTGACAAGGAGATACCATTGCCTTCAAGGATTAACAATCTAAAATGATGCTGATAAGTCAAAAGGCTATAAAACATGAAGATCATTTTCTAGAGAGAAGGAAGATGTTTGCTTTGGTTTATCATAGTCTACACATGCTTACAGAGGTCTAGAGGTCATGACAATACATAACCCTTAGCTTTATTTTTATGAAAATGATAAAAATGAGTTTCTTAATCTTATTTTCTGCTCACACAAAAACTGCAGAACTCAAGGAGTCCATTTCCATTTAATTCTGTGCCTTTATTAAAAACAAAGATTTCTTGTACTTATAGCACATTACAATAACTGACTTCCATCTATACTCCTACACTGTTTGGTATATTCTATTTAAAGTGGCAATGGAATATGATTTTCCTCAAAAATAACATATTTCAGCACTTCAAAGTTCTAGGTATTTGAGATGCAGAACCTCATTATCTAGCAGTACTACACAGAGCTGGCATTAAGTCTTATCATTTTGCCACTAGTAACTCATTTACCCATCTCACCAAGTCAGAAATCTGGAAGTCATCCTAGAGTCTCCTTTCCTCTAACTTCCAAAAATTAATCATTCACCACAGTTAAACAGCTCTCAGTTAAGAGCTCTCAAAAAAGTTCCTCTACCACCATTATCCCTTGTCTGAGTATTAACCCATTACATAACTGTGCCTCAAATTACAATGATAAGACTTGGAGCTTATGTTTAGATATTTAACATCTCGTAATATATTCTATCTTTATAGTACTAAAAAACTGCAAGGATAGCATGTCAATGCAAAATCAAAGTGTTCCTTTCAACAAAGCACTTGCCCCCTTACAATATCATTCTATCATCTTATCTAGGAATAAGTGCTTCCAGTTATTCCAAAATGCTAAGTTCTCCCACAACCCATGGGCCTGGGTTAGATTTCCATCCCCTTTTCTGCTAACATCTATTCATAAAAAATAATATTAAATTCTTGAAGTACAAGAGCAGCAAAGCTCTAATCTCAATAAAGTAAAATGTTCATAAGATCTTGATTATATTCAGATAAGATAAAGGAACAAATTCACATAATTACAATGGATTTCTTTATAAGTTTGTATTTAGTCAAAAGTCACTAATTTAGTATTTTGCTATAATCTAAAAATACAATAAAATCTTAAAAAACAAGGCAGTTACCTGAGGAGAGTCAAAAGGATATCGACTACTAAACTTAAATAGAAGCTGAAATTTTTCCCCTTCATATAAGGTACCTGGTGCACCTTCCATGTCTACAATCCACCTAGAATAGGAAAAAAAAAAAAAAAAAATTAAAAAACTTCATATAAGAAGAATTGGGATGAGAAAGAAAAGGGAACACTGAAGACTTTCTGTATACCAGGCATTGGGGTAAGAGTCATTCCTGTGCAACAGGGTACTTCATCCTCCCAACAATTTTAAGAGTAGGTATTAACACCCTTCTCTGATGCTCAAAGGTTAAGTAACTAGATCAAAGTCAGACAACTGGCAAATGACAGAGCCAAATTTTAATCCAGGTCTGAAAACACAAAATGAAAATCCAACTCAAGTGTGCTGGCACCAAAGCCTGTACTCTCGCTACTCAATTTATGCTACCTTATTTTTCTAAAATACTATTTTCACAATGACTGAAAAGATTTTATAGGTAACATCAAACTAATGAACTGCCTTTCTGATACCATTTTAGAAGCTATGGTCGAAGTACGTATCAACGACGACTAGAGAATTGTGGCTGTTAGACCCATCTTTTCATCAGTATTCTAGAGACTAAACAGGAAAAAGAAGCTAAGCTAACATCAGTCCACTTACTCTGATGGCTATTCAAGGCTCTATACTGCTTTTCCTTTGTCTCTCACGTTTCAGTTGTTTAATAAAACTCAGAAGAGATTTCTATGGCCTCTTTATAAGCTTACTTGGTTTCCACATAAAATAATCATGACTATAAATCTGTTTATAATCTGTACATTTATCTCTTGCTCACTTATTTATTTATTAGTAAGCTCTACGCCCAACACAGGGCTTGAACTCACAATACCGAGATCAAGAGTCACATGCTCTACTGACTGAGCCAGCCAGGCACCCGTATCTCTTGCTCTTTTTAAAAAAAGGGAGGAGGGGGGCGCCTGGGTGGCTCAGTTGGTTAAGCAACTGCCTTCGGCTCAGGTCATGATCCCGGAGTCCCGGGATCGAGTCCCGCATCGGGCTCCCTGC